CCTCAGATTTTTTGAACACTATTGCATTTGATTTAAATGTTAATTGGTGATTTTAATCTATGCTTGTGTGTTTGCTGTGGTGTCTGTTTGGCGTCCAAACAGGGCTCAGCGTTTGTGATGTTCCCGGTTCAGACCATCACCACAGTGGATTCACATGTCGTTCAGCTGGGCTACTCAGACGGACATCTGGTGGTCTCGTCTCTCAGCTGCTGCTACCTGTGTGACACAGAGCGGTGTGTGTGTTTGCAGGAGACATGGGACGACACATATCGCACAACTATACTGACAATTAGTTAAAAAAATAAATCACTAGATCACTAGAATATTTTTTAACCATTTGTAGCATTTCATTTAAATTAGGCTCTTCATATGTGACCCTGGAGCACAAAAGCAGTGTTAAGTCGCTGGGGGATATTTGTAGCAATAGCCAACAATACATTGCATGGATCAAAATTATCAATTTTTCTGTTATGCCAAAAATCATTAGGATGTTAAGTAAAGATCATGTTCCATGAAGATATTTAGTAAATTTCCTACCGTAAATATATCAAAACTTAATTTTTGATTAGTAATATGCATTGCTAAGAACTTCATTTGGACAACTTTAAATGCAGTTTTCTCAATATTTAGATTTTTTTGCACCCTCAGATTCCAGATTTTAAAATAATTGTATCTCGGCCAAATATTGTCCTATCCTAACAAACCATACATCAATGGAAAGCTCATTTATTCAGCTTTCAGATGATGTATAAATCTCAATTTCGAAAAATTGACCCTTATGACTGGATTTGTGGTCCAGGGTCACATATGATCAAAATATCATGTCAGACATTGGTATCACATTATCCTCAGACTGTAACTTAAATAAAAATCGTAAGAAAAACTAAATGAATGTTCACTCTGTTCCCGTCTCTCTTCCACTCTCAGGGAGAAGTTCTGGCGTGTGGGTAATAAAGAGCGAGATGGAGAGTTTGGGGCATGTTTTCTCCCACAGGGGCCGGTGGGTCAGCGGGGTCCGGCGCTGCTGTACTGTGCCCGGCCTGGCTCCCGAATATGGGAGGCCAGTTTCAGTGGAGAGGTCCTGAGCACACACCAGTTCAAACAGCTGCTGGCCTGCCCACCGCTGCCCCTCGTCTCTTACAAGTGAGTGTTTGTGTGTTTATCACTAACTTGTGACCTCATTAGTGTTTGTTGGTTTACCTCTTAGGTCTGTATCTCCATCCTTTTCTCTCTATATATTTGTTGTGTATTTTTACATGTTGTTTTCAGGAATGAGCCACATTTCAACCCCGCACAGACGAGTCCACAGTCTCTGGCTTTCCCAAGACTCCTTCAGTTTGGGTAACCACTCTTCGTACTATAATAACACAAGACCTTTAGTAAAGACACGATCTTTCATACCTGCTATTATGACTATGAAGATAACGTCTCAGGTTAGAAAGGGTTTTAGGGTTAATATTTAACTTGAGAATTGTGTGTGTGCTTCTTAGTGATCAAAACCTGCTCACCTGGACGGATTCGGCCATCTATATCTTCACTCCTCACAGCGGTCAGGTTCTGCTGTGGACAGAGGTCAAAGGTGAGAGGTCACACCTGTTGTTCAACCTATATGAGGTTTTAAGTATGAAACCTCATAATGCACGAAAATATATTTCCTCAAAAATAAATAAATAAATGTGTATATATATATATATATATATA